CACAAGTATAGACACGGTCTCACCCCCAGACGATACGGTCGCTGTAACCAAAAAGGAAGAATTGAAGTCACTCCTGACTACGTTTAGCGATGTTTTCGCATGGGACGATACCTCCTTAGGTCGCACCGCTGCCATCCGTCACAGCATTGACACAGGCACGTCGAAACCGCTGTGGCGACCCCCACGCCGAATTCCACCACACTTTCAGGAGGACGTGAGCGACCTAATTCAAACGATGCTGACCACGGGGATAATCCGCCCCTCCAAGTCGCCCTGGGCATCACCAGCCACATTAGTGCCAAAAAAGACGGCAAACCCCGGTTTTGTAGAGACTATCGACGACTTAACGCGGTCACCATCCGCGATTCTTTCCCACTTCCAAGAATTGACGTCACACTCGAAGCGCTTGCCGGAGCCCAATGGTTCTCAACGTTGGACCTCAAGTCCGGTTATTGGCAAGTTGAAGTGGAACCTAAAGACCGCCCAAAAACGGCGTTTATACTACCACAAGGGCTCTTCGAATTCGAAACCATGCCGTTCGGGCTATGTAACGCAGTCGCAACCTTCCAACAACTGATGCAGTCCGTCCTGGCCCACTTATACCCTCACAGCTCTTTGATATACCTCGACGACGTGATCGTGTTTGGACGCACGGCCCGGCAACATAACACTAACCTCGCCGCAGTGCTCTCTGCTCTCCGCGACGCCGGCTTGCGTTTAAATCCAGAAAAGTGCAAGCTTCTGTGCCGGAAAGTCACATTTCTCGGTCACGAAGTCAGCCCGCAAGGCATGCAGGCGTCGCATGAGAAAGTACATCCGCAACTTCGAATTGGAATTTCATGAGTAGTGGTACCTACCTCCGGGTGACAGGTGATTGATGACGTCATTATGCGTCAGCCCGCGCGCGATGGCCCGGCCGGGCCGGCTGACGCATATTGACGTCATCAGTCACCTGCCACCTGGAGGTAGTACCACTATTCATAAAATTCCAATTCGGAGGTTGCGGATGTACGAATCCCTGAGAATCGTGTGAGGTGTGGCCGCGAGATTTTTATTCCCAAAGGACGGACTACTGAATACCGAGTAGTTGGAAAAGTTTACTGATGTTAGTTAAATACATGGGACCAGTTGTTCCAGTAAAGTTTGAATGTTGGCCATGTGTTGTCGTTCTTTTTGGCAGGAGGAGGTTCGTAGCGTAGGAAGCCTTCATGGCCGGGTTTATTATACTGGGGACCATTGAATCGTGCAGTATGATGAAATTGTGGGAAGCTGCCAACTTCAATGTCAAGGTAGGCCTCGAGAAGGCAAGTTGCAGAAGCAGTAGGTGCGGACTCATCGTTCAAATGGTCTCCAGTTCGTGGTACAAAGACAGCAATAGTACAATTTGAGTTCGCATCATTCCAAATAGGTACTCCATCCATGGCTTTACTTCTTCCGTGCCACATGGTGCTGAAGTTTGGATCGACCGATGTATTGATACCGGGTAGGCACCATAGTTTTTTCTAGACTGTTGTTTAAGTCATTGCCTGATGTGCTCAGATGCGATTTATCCAGCATTTAGCACCCAGATAGATGTCATCAAAGTCGTAGGCTGATTCAAACACACTGTCTTCATTCATCCAATGTACACCTGACCAATAAAGAAGGCTGCCAACACATTTCGTAGGAACTTAAGATCCACCGTAGGAGGCGATATCATCACGAAAACTGTTGGCTGATACGACTTGAGTTACTTCTGCGCCGGGAACTTCCTGCTCTGACCACTTGGCCACTCTTATCCATGGCTAACATTATCCGTCCCGTTGTATCATCGCTCGTAGCTGTACGGTTACTGTCGCCTTGGTGTATAATTCTGGAGACAGTACAACGGAATTGAGACAGGCGATAGGATACGCGTTTTGCTCTCCACATAGGGTAACAACTGAATGCCAAATCTGCATTGTGCCATGCTTCATAGCGCTGATATCCTGTTCGCATGAAACCCTCCATTGTTAAATTGTCCAATATAAATAATTTATAATGATGTGAGCTATCGGCGTAGTTCAGTCCTTTGTGCCATATAGTGCATTCTGGAATAGCAACTATTTTCTTCTGATAAAGTCGGATTATTGTTCGATGTGTAGTTAGATGATACATTGAAATTTTGCTTCGCTTTTCGTCATCAGTAAGGGTTTCCGTTTCTGTATCCCCTTTCTTTAGTTTGGTGTCCAAACCAATTCCATGGCTGTCATCTTCGGCTTCGCGTTTTATTGTCGGTGATGGCATTTGCGTGCCAAATCTTTGCAACAGAGACTGCGCTTTCCTCAATGATTCGTCACTTAGCTTGTCATTATGTTGCAGAAGAGCACTCTTGAAGACGTCTAACTTCTCTACTCCCGGATTCCGAAGGAAGTCAAAAATGCACGACAGGTCGGGGTCAGCATTTTTGCCGAGTTGCTCGCCTGCTGCAGGAAGCGTGGCACTCAACTGAGGACACGATCAATCGACATATCGATCTGCCAATCGCTTATCAAGCACTTCGTGAACAAATCAGCAGCGTAGCTGGAGGTCATTCCCGGCAGAGATGAGCTAAATATGCGATGAGTTGTACAGTATTTTCATTCCTTGACGATGGGCTCGCGTGAAAATTCGAAACGTCGGACAAATAAACCACTGGTCCCAGCGATCGCCTTCCCGTCTTCTTCTATATCTTATATATACATATATATGACTTGGCCGACTTCGGCCTGGTAATTGGTTGCCTGTTCGTGACCTTTGCCACACATACGGAGCTTGTTTGCTTTGTGAAGCCAATAGATCGGTGTGCGCCCATTCCTGATTGATAAATACCCGATCTGCAGCGACAGAGAATGACAGGTGGCGAGGCACTGATGAACTTCGGTTCGATGAAGTGCTTATGACCCATCTGGTAGGCCTCAGTGGTGGACCGACTGCGCCAGGTGCGTCTGTGCGCATGTTTGTGTTTCTGGTCTCAGCTGCTGGTGGTCAGGGTTATGATTGGCTGAATGAAGGCAGAATAAGCACGAAACAGTGCTGTATCAATCTACCCGCATTCTCTGTCGTCCCTCCTCGCTGCTATTATTACTTGGCCGACTTCGGCCTGGTAATTGGTTGCCTGTTCGTGACCTTTGCCACACATACGGAGCTTGTTTGCTTTGTGAAGCCAATAGATCGGTGTGCGCCCATTCCTGATTGATATATATATATATATATATTAATAGGTTCCATAAAACGATAAACTATACATCGTTTTCTAATTGTTTCTGCTTCTCCTTCAATTAAATCCGCTCATAGCTGCCGATTAGTTGTAATGAGGCAGGGTGTTCGCGGTAGTTGTCTAGGAGCTTTGTTGTTGATTTGTATGGTAAAAGGTGAACCGCCCAGAAGTTCCTTATAATTGTTCACTGACGACATTGTTATCCTAGGTTCATCCATTAAAGCAACTTCATGTCCCAGAAGGTATTGGAAGTAGAATGCGGTTGCATCGGCATCTCTGCTGACTGTTGCATAGTCATAAGGCTTTACTGCCATTTTCATTATTAGGGACTTGCCACACGTGGTTGGTCCACGTAAAACCAAAGCACTGATACGATGTTCTTTCATTCGTCTAATTCTATCCAAATCAGCAAGAAAGTTCTTCGCGTCCACATGATTGCTCTCAAAAATATTCTTAATGAAAAATGCCTCCTTTCTCAGGATCAGTATCATGAAGTTGGCCTTCACATTCATAAAAATTGTGCTCGTTCACTATACGGCTACATTCTAAAACTACATAGGACAGTATATTATCCTTACCGATCCAATTTGTGCACGTGATTATTGCCTACAAGCATTCATGATACCTTTCCAGTTAACGATGGGGTCGTGATTTCAGCTACCTGTTGGCATTTGAAAGCAAGTGTCGATAGAGTGTCTGCTAGACACTTCTATGCAGCTATATATGAATGTCTCGGACAACCAAGACGTATCGAATTAGCCACGTACTTTAAAGATGGAACCGAACTACAACTGTGCAGAGTGGCGTGGTCCTGCAGAGATCGTAACTGCATTCCTGAATGGTTGAAGCGCTTAAAAGATCTCGGACAAGTAACAATTACACTGCCAGAATATGAGAACTCAGTGAAAAATGAACCTACTTGGTTATCAACGTACAAAGCGATGTTTAAAATTAATAAATAAAAATAAAAAAATAATACCAATGGGACGAGACTTGTTCAACCATCTGCATAGTCACTTTTACTTTTAGGTACCTCTTTGCAGCACGAGAGCTCTCTATACTGCGCTATTGCATATCGATACCAATAGTCAGTTATCAGTGCCAGATGTTTGGCAGAATCAATTTGTCGTGGGTCATTCAAATCATATTCACATCTGTGTTTACTCATTGCCGAAAAATCATATTGCGAAAACTGGATAGAAGTGCTCAATCCCTGTATGCGACAATACCTGAATCAAAGCCTCCCTATCAGTCTTGGTGTTGGCAATTAATTGAGAGCAAACAACTTGTACGAAATCCCGAGAAACTGATGGAGTACTTGGCTGCTAGATTTGACGGCCGATTGTATACCTATGATGACAAAGATACGGATTGCCAATATCTGCAGACCTTATTCCAAGCGGCTCTAAACCATCGCGCTGATCTGCCGACTGCGAATTGTATGAATATAAGCGAATTGCGAAGACTCCTATCAGAGGATAGTCAACAGCAGAGATTTCGAAGCCAATATGACATGGTGCTGAGTTTCTTCGAAATCTGCAAAAAAACAATATTTGTCAAGGGGAGGATTTTAATGACTATTTACCTCAAGATACTGCACATTTGGCCTACATATGGGCTAAGTTTGGGTCCAATTGGAAGAATCTACTTCGAGACTATATAGAAATATACCGGTCTGCCAGCTTTGGCTGGCAAGGTTAAGCCACTTAGCGTCTAATAAAATCTGCCCGAACTGACGATGTGGTGGCACCTGTGTCGACTAGAGCCTTAATGGGTTTGTTGTCTAGGTAAATCGTCGTGTAAAACGGTAAACTATGTGACGTGTAATCGCCGCCGCAGCGCTGTCTCTATCTCCCCGGAATTGTCTTGGCTCAGCGTTGAGCGGTGGGGGTCGATAGGGCGTGTGGAATGTTGTAGGTCGGTTGCCGCGGTTAAATCGCTGTGAAGGCTGGTAGTGTGGTCTGGGCCAGGAGGTGTTGTTTTGTTGTCTGCGGTCTGGTGTGGTTTTCCACAATTCAGCCCGAGAGTGATTGTCACCTGTTGGAGCGTCGGTCGTTAGCATGCGGGATGCTCGCTGGATGGCTTCGTTGAGATCCCCCGGTGGCTGAATCCTCAGGGAATACGCTGCCTCTTGGGACCCGAGGCCGCGTTTGAAGTGGTAAAGAACCACTTGGTCTCTATCAGCCGCTGACAGTGAGGGGTAGGCGTCGCGTGCGAGCCGAAGCAAGGCGTCGACGAACTGCCGAGGGGTTTCGTGGCTCCTTAAGGAACGTTTTAGTAACTGGTCAATGGCTTCCTCTATGGACAATGGGGGTTGGAATAGCCTCTGCAATTGGTCGCACAGCACCTGGAAAGGGGTGTGGCGGATGAGGCCGGCATCCAGTGCCTTGTTCATCTGGTCGTCTGCTAGATGTTGAAGTACCGTACGGCTGCGTTTGTTTTGTGAAACATCGTCTAGGTGGAAGTTAAGGCGGCGAAGCCAGCACGAAAAATCCTTACTCCCTTCGTAGAGCTTAAAAGAAAACGGAATAGGGTTTGTTGTACTGTTTTTAGGTTGCGGGCTCGGCTCGTTCGTTGCCACCATTGTAACGTCCGACCTCGAAAAGGGTTCGGTGGCCGAGAGCTCACTCGCGTCCTTATGGGTTGCCTGAGACGGAACGTTGGGGACTGGAGCACTGTGTCCGGTCTGTGAATCGTTATGGTCGTCTTTGCAAGCATTCATCATCGAATAGCAACCTTCAGGCACACGATAAGACGCGTAATACACCAAGGTTTATTTTAGGATGGGGGAATGGAACGTAGAACGAGGCGTCGAAAAAGGGGATCGATTAATCCAACAAAACGTTAACTTCACAGTTATCCGGGGAAGGTGGAGTTGGTAGCTGCCACCGGGGAGGGAGAGTCGTCTTCTTCACGCACCTCGGGTGGAAAAAAGTGAGAGAAAGTAAACAGATAGTGTCCAGACACCCTTGCTCCCTTGTCTATTTAAGCAGCCGTTTATGTCTGTCAGCTACACGGGTACTCTATTCATAACTACCTTTTGATTGTGGCTTAATCTAGCGCCCGTTGTTGTCGCACATCTTTTCGCTGGCTCCGGATGAACTAGCTATTGGACTAACGAAACTCAAATACTTGTAGGATTCATTCATCTTCGTGTTGACAACACTTTCTTCTGTGTTTCCGTGTGGTTCGTCGAAAAAGCTAATCTCGGTTTCTTTCGAAGCCTCGTCTTGGATTTTTCTGGCTGGGTTTCGGCACACAAGGTTTTCTGATGCCTTTATTGTTCAACATAGTTGGGAGCCTCCGGCGGTCCTTCGTAGGCCTCCTGGCCGTCATCCTCTGCTGGTCTGCGTGTATGTAAGCGGCCTTCGTTTTTTGGACCGTACAGAGGTGCATGTTATTTTCTTGGAATGTTTCTTTGTTCTCTGAGTTCGCTATGGCTGATCTTTTTTCGCCTAAGAGACTGGCATCCAACTGTTTCTAGTCCCTTGGACGAACCGTGGCCAGCTTCAGCGTGGTTGCGTACGCTTTTTCGTATTCTGGATTGCCAAATTCGTCGGCTTTTTCTCTTCACCTAAGCGGTGGGTAAGCTTCCTTAACTTTTCTACCTCCATTTTCAGACCTTTTAACTCTCCCTCCATTTTCGAACATTTATGGATTAGTCGGAAACATGTGGCACAGATTTCATCGTCGTATGTGACATCCCCCAACGTCACTAGACTTTTTGCTTTGAAATTTTCGACCTCGGAGTATTTTACTTTTTTCGGGATTTCTATCTACTTGACGTCCTCACGGCTCGTGTGTTTTAAGAATCCGAATCGTCTTTGCGACAGATCTATCCTTGAAAACCCCCATCAGGACTTGTGCAGAATAACCTATCTTCGTCCAGTCGCCTCCCTACAACAGCACTGAGAAATCTCTAATACCGACGAAAAGCTCAGTCGTTTACCTCATATCTTTGATCTGGTTGAAAATTCGTCTCATACCTTTAATTTATGTATGCCAGAGATTTGAGAGTGTGGAGTTAAGTTCTTCCTGGAAATCAGGTTTCCGTTCTCATCTGCACATTTCTCGTGCTCTAGACTTTCAAGAGAAAGGTAAAGAGTGTATGTAGGGACGGAAGGTCGGAGCATTCACATCACCTTTCCCGAGGGGCTGCGTATGCATCGTCTTCTGAATTTTTTTACAATGCTTATTAATATCATCAGGGAATCATTATCTGAGCTATGGCCGTACACTGTAGGCAGCTGGTGGCGGTGCAGACGGCGGTGGGCCCACAACGCTCGGCGTAGTCTTTCGACGGTAGAAAGTTTGAACCCCGTACTGAAGCAGCAGTGTAGACCATAGATGTCTCTCACCGACTGCGTTCACAGCATAGTGTAACTTATAAATTCTAAGGCTGTGGATATTGATTAGTCGGAGGCCGATGAGTATTACCACCGCAGGCACTACAAGGCTACATTTCATTAGAGTGGGCCAAATGCTGACTGGGTATGCCTCAGACGTGGTGGTCAGCCACTTTTCAGCAAACTCCAATGTCCCACTTTGCAGTGCTGTGGTTGACACGTGCAGCTGTTGGTTCCATCGGAATTGGCAGTTGCCGTGTGTTCACATCCCTACCTTCCTGGTGCAGCACAGCGTCGACCCCTGTCGGGCTCTTTTAGAGAGCTGATGGCTGGCCCGGCGGGGCCATCGCGCGTGAGCCAATGATGCCACCCCTCAATCACCTGTCAGTCGGAGGTTGGTACCATTCGTAAAATGCCAGCAAGGAGGTAACGGATGTAAAAATCCCTGAGAATCGTTCGAGAGTAAGCCCGGGTCCCTTTTGCTTATAGATAACGACTACTGAGAGGGAACAGTAGTGAAGAATTTATTGATGGAATTACAGAACTAATTTGCACTTCAGGTGAAAAATAAGGCTCCTCGGCAGTTATCCCCTTATTAAAGGGGAAGCTGAGCCTATAGAGAAAAGATGTCTTCTGTGTCGTTTCTTTGTGTCCATAAGGCATGACTGTTGACCTCTGTTGTGTCATTGTTCCTGGCGCGACACGTGCCGCATTATGTCCTGAGCGTATGACACCTCGGAGGTGAGTGACGTACTCATGTAGTGTGCACGGGACGGGCGTAGGTAGGGGGCAGCGAATGTCTGCTGGGAGGCGTAGGTCACGGCCACTTCAAAGGCAGTGAGGGGTGAACCCCCTGGACGAGTGTACTGCTCCGCGATAAGCTAGGAGGCAAGTGTGCGTCCCAGTCGTGTTCGTGCCCGTCCTGTGAAAATGCAAGTAAGAGGTTGTGTGATGTTCGGTTGGTTCTTTCCACGAGGTCGTTGCCTTCGGGGTGATACGGGGTAGTCCGAGTTTTTTAATCTCTGTAATCTCGCAGACCTCTTGTAGGAGTTGTGACTGGGAATTGGGGACGCAGTCTGAATGGAGTGACAAAGGGGCGCCCCACCGGCTAATCCAAGTGCGGCTAATGGCGTTTGCGACAGATGCCGCGTCCTGGCGGAGGAGTGGTACAGCTTCTGCCCACTTAGTGAAGTAGTCCACCATGACCAGGACGTACTCGAATCCGCGCACCGAGATCGGCAAGGGTCGCAGGATGACCAGGCCGACACGCTCGCCCAGGAAACCGGTAGTCGTAGGCTTTAGCGGGGCACGGGGTGATCGGGAGGGCGGTTTGAACGTGGCGAATGTGGCGCAGGACTGGCAAAAGTGCTGGACTGACAAACGTAGTTGTGGCCGCCAGAAACGGCCGCGGGTGGCGAGTTCCGTGCGGCGTTGGCCACTGCGTCCTAGCTGTGTGTGGAGGTCAGTGAGGACGGATTCCATCAAGCACACGGGAACGACTGGTCGTAACCGGTTGGAAGCGGGGTCGCGGAGAAACAATATTTCATTTTCGATAGTGAGGTAGGGCCACTGGTTGAGCAATAGGCGGGCGCCTCTCATTTCCTGCTCTGCAGGTTTGGGAATCCTTAGACTTAGGTGGCGGTAGATAGTGGCCGTGTCGGATGTCGATTGTGGACATCTGATCTCCGTTTGCTGTCAGCAGGTTAGGTAGTCTTTTGGGTTTAAAAATACTATCCATGCGAACAGGTGTAAGCACATCAGAACGAACTAAAGAAACTGTAGCTCCATTGTCAACTAGAGCCCTAACAGGGCGGTTGTCAACGTGCACCAAAGTAAAGAATGGTACTGTATTAGGCGACGTTGAAGAGCATATAGGGACAGACAGGGTACCGCAATCGGCTTCATCCGAACGGTGTGCTGACGTCGCATATGGCGGGCGATTCCCAAGACCCTTACGAGACTGAGCGTAGTGTTGTTGTCTGCCGTAGAGTAACCACGTGAGCGGGGGCCTTGCCCGGGTCGACGATAGCCGGAGGAAAAGGTTGATCTTCCAGAAGAGCGATGGTAAATAGGTCCTGGAGGGTTCGGCTCTAACAACCGAGTGGCTCTCTGGATTGCACTCTTGAGGTAACCGGGGGGGTTCAGACGTAATGAATACGCCACCTCGTCGGAGTCCAGGCCGCATTTGAAATGATAAAGGACGACCTGGTCTTTATCAGCTGCCGACAAGGACGGGTAAGCGTCGGAGGCCAAGCGCGTTAGATCAGCCGCGAACTGCTCAGGTGTTTCTCTGAAAAGACGACGACGACGGTGTATGAGTAGGTGAACCGCATCTTCGAGTGCCAACCAAGGATGGAACAGGCGCTGGAGTTGATCACACAAGTCGTCAAAAGGAGTTGAAACTGACAGCCCAGCGTCGAGGGCTTTATCCAATTGGTCATCTCCCAAATATTTACAAACTAGCCGAGAGCGTTGATCCTGCAGCAGCTCATTCAAGTGGAAACGGAACCGCCATAACCAGCCCCGAAAATCGATCCGTCCGTCAAAAAGGGCGAAAGGAATTGGGAATGGAGTCAGGGATAGTCGTAGACGACGAGGATGGGGTGGTTGGGTTCGTCATAGTTGCTGCGTCGCTGCGATAGTGTTAACGTCGGCTGTCTGCACACCAGGGTCTGTGTCAGTGACGTGGGGAAGGCGGGAAAGGGTGTCCGCCTTGCCATGTATGTGGCCCTGGTGGTACTGGCATTCGAAGTCGAAGTCCGGAAGAAACTCCTGCCAGCGTGCCAGCTGGTCCATGGGATTCTTGAAGGACCGCAGCCACTGCCGGACTCTGTAGTCTGTGCGGAGGATGAAACGCCGTCCGATCAGCAGGTGCATGAACTGGCGTAGAAACACGACAATCGCCAGGAGTTCGCGGCGGAAGGCACAGTAGTTGCTCTGTGGTTTGGTGAGGGTGTTGCTTGCGAAGCAGATCGAGTGCTCTACTCCGTTCGGAATGGCTTGGCAGAGTACGGCGCCGATAGCGTACCCACCGGCATCGATGTTTAAGATAAATGAGGGTGCGTCCTTGTCGACGTTTGGGAGGGAAAGTAGGGGAGCCGAGCACAGGGCGGCACGTAAGTCGGTGAAAGCGCGTGCAAAGTCGTCTGACTGGACAAACGGTCTACCTTTCTCTGTAAGTTTGTGTAGGGGGTTGGCAATATGGGCGAAGTCGCGGATAAAACGTCGATAGTATGACGCTAAACCAAGGAAACTGCGCAGTTCCGTCTGGGGTTGGCCACGTGCGGGTACATTTGATGCGGTCGGGAAGGGGTGAGATGTGCCCTAGGGAGATTAAATGACCCAAGAACTTAACCTCGCTGCGTAAAAAAGGCACTTAGTGGGGTTAAGGGTCAGACCCGCAGACCGGAGGGCCTCCAACACCGCGCGTAAGTTGTGGTTCTGTTCGTCGATAGACCTCCCAAACACAATAATGTCGGCGAGGTAGACGAGACACTCGTCCGGAATGAAGGCTTGGAGGACACGGTACATAAGGCGCTGGAAATTGGCGGCCGCGTTACACAGGCCAAACGGGAGGGTTTGGAAGTCATACAAACCTTTTGGTACCGTGAAGGCTGTTTTATGGCAGTCGTCTGGGTGCATCTCTACCTGCCAATAACCGGATTTAAGGTCCAGTGTTGACAACCACGCAGCATTCCCTAAGGCGTCCACGGTGTCATTTAACCGCGGGAGTGGGAAGGAATCGCGGACTGTCACGGCGTTAAGGCGACGGTAGTCAATGCACAAGCGGCTGATAGAGACCAAGTGGTTCTTTACCACTTCAAACGCGGCCTCGGGTCCCAAGAGGTAACGTATTCCCTGAGGATTCAGCCACCGGGCGACCTCAACGAAGCCATCCAGCGGGCATCCCGCATTCTAACGACCGACGCTCCAACAGGTGACAATCACTCTCGGGCTGAATTGTGGAAAACCACACCAGACCGCAGACAACAACACCTGGCCCAGACCACACTACCAGCCTTCACAGCGATTTAACCGCGTCAACCGACCTACCACGTCCCGCACACCCTATCGACCCTCACCGCTCAACGCTGAGCCAAGACAATTCCGGGGGAGATAGAGACAGCGCTGCGGCGGCGATTACCAAGGAAGGCAACCACATCATTCCCGTCTGCTTTGATTACACGTCACATAGTTTACCGTTTTACACGACGATTTACCTAGACAACAAACCCATTAAGGCTCTAGTCGACACAGGTGCCACCACATCGTCAGTTCGGGCAGATGTATTAGACGCTAAGTGGCTTAACCTTGCCAGCCAAAGCGGTTACGCTCACCACATCTCAAAACAGCAGACGGGTCACCCATGACCACGTTAGGTACGGTTCGACTGCCCATCTCCTTTCCAGCCAGAGTTAAGGAACAAGTTTTTGTCGTCACACACAAGATGTCGTCGGACATTATAATCGGGCTAGATTTCCTTTCTGCACATAACTGTTGTATTGTGGTCAAAGACCGCATACTATCCTTGGGACATAATGCATTGCCTAGTCACCCAACAGCCGCCGAGTTTGACGAAGAAGCCACCTGCGCGGCCATCGCAGCGTCGGCAGTCTTACCACCCACAAGTATAGACACGGTCTCACCCCCAGACGATACGGTCGCTGTAACCAAAAAGGAAGAATTGAAGTCACTCCTGACTACGTTTAGCGATGTTTTCGCATGGGACGATACCTCCTTAGGTCGCACCGCTGCCATCCGTCACAGCATTGACACAGGCACGTCGAAACCGCTGTGGCGACCCCCACGCCGAATTCCACCACACTTTCAGGAGGACGTGAGCGACCTAATTCAAACGATGCTGACCACGGGGATAATCCGCCCCTCCAAGTCGCCCTGGGCATCACCAGCCACATTAGTGCCAAAAAGACGGCAAACTCCCGTTTTGTAGAGACTATCGACGACTTAACGCAGTCACCAGTCGCAATTCCTTTCCACTTCCAAGAATTGACGTCACACTCGAAGCGCTTGCCGGAGCCCAATGGTTCTCAACGTTGGACCTCAAGTCCGGTTATTGGCAAGTTGAAGTGGAACCTAAAGACCGCCCGACAGCTGCGTTTACCCTACCACAAGGGCTCTTCGAATTCGAAACCATGCCGTTCGGGCTATGTAACGCAGTCGCAACCTTCCAACAACTGATGCAGTCCGTCCTGGCCCACTTATATCCTCACAGCTGTTTGAGATATACCTCGACGACGTGATCGTGTTTGGACGCACGGCCCGGCAACATAACGCTAACCTCGCCGCAGTGCTCTCTGCTCTCCGCAACGCCGGCTTGCGTTTAAATCCACAAAAGTGCAAGCTTCTGTGCCAGAAAGTCACATTTCTCGGTCACGAAGTCAGCCCGCAAGGCATGCAGGCGTCGCAGGAGAAAGTAGACGCAGTCAAATCATGGCCTACGCCGAAGACTCCAACGGAAGTCTGAGGCTTCCTCGGCCTGGCCTCCTACTATCGCCGTTTAATCCTCCACTTTGCGGAGCTAGCACGCCCCCTCCATCGCTTGACGGAAAATGGTCGCTCATTCACATGGACCGACGATTGTTAGCAGGCCTTCGATGAGTTAAAAGCAAAACCCATTTCGGCACCGATATTGACGAGTCCTGAGGCTCCCCCCTTCATACCGATAGCGATGCCAGCGGGTTCGCGATCGGGGGCGTACTCTCGCAGGCCGATGAGACAGGGGCCGTGCAATCGATTTGCTTTGCGAGCAAAACCCTATCGAAGCCCGAGCGAAACTACTGCACCTACCGACGAGAATTATTAGCGCTGATTACATTTATCAAACAATTCAAACCATTCTTAGTGGGAAAGCATTTCATCGTCCGCACCGAACACAGGGCTTTACAGTGGTTACAAAATATGAAAGAAGCCCAAGGCCAGCCTGCGAAATGACAGGAATTTGATTTCACTTGTTAGTATCGACCAGGTCACCAACACGCCAACGCGGACGCGCTATCTCGCCGCCAAGTTGAGGCCGATACGGCAGACACAGAAGTAGCGGACGAACACAGCGACTGTTACAATCAGCAAACCCACTCGTTATCATTGGGCAGTTACACAATGTACCGACCCGGACACGGCAATAATTTACGACCACCAGTTGCATGGTCGACACAGACCAACAGAGGTCGAACTCCGCGGCTCCTCGGAGATTGCTCGCCTCTTGTGCCACCAATGGGCCAACCTGTTCGTTGAGACCTGTTTTTCTTTAAAGACGCAGCATCCACCCATCCGCGGCTAGTTGTCCCGAGCAGCCTCGTCAGGCCCGTCCTCACAGACTTACACCACGAGTTGGGACATGTAGAAGGGACTAAAACGGAAGCGGCCGCCGCTAGGCAGCGCTTCTGGTGGCCCTGCCTGAGAGAGCAAGTCCCCAACTTCTGTAACGCGTGCTCCACCTGTGCCTCCTTCAAAGGCACCATCCCACGACATCGTGCACCTCTACAGCCTATGATTGCAGGCTTTCCATTTAAGCGGGTGGGCGTAGACATAGTCGGTCCGTTGCCTTACACAACGTCCGGCCATCGGTACATCTTAGTGTTGGTAGATTATTTTACGAAGTGGGCTGAGGCCATCCCCTTACACCGGCAAGATGCAGCCTAGGTCACCAATGCGCTGCAAAAGGAATGGGTCTGTCGATACGGAGCACCCTTTTCACTTCATTCCGATTGCGGAGCCAACTTCGAAAGCCACCTTCTACGCCAAGTCTGTGACCTTCTCATCCACATGACTCGAACAACAGCAACCCACCCAGAGGGCAAAGGTCAGGTGGAGCGCACAAACCGAACCATAATATCCTGAAGGCGTTGGCCGAGGACCACCATCCACACTATTGGGACGTGAAATTACCCTTCGCCATGATGGCCTACAGAGCCGCCATTCATTCCTTAACGGGCCACGCCTCATTCTATATGTTGACCGGCCGCAAATTCGGATTACCGGCGGGCTCGAGCGTTCCCACACAGCTACCGACGGCCTATACAACCGACAACTACGTGATAGAGCTACAGGAGTTATTAAGACGCACGTACAACGTGGCCCGCACGCAACTCCGCAACGCCTACGACAGACAAAAGTTATTTCGACCGACGGGCACACGGATTTCCCTGCCACATCGGCGATCTAGTGCTCAGCTATCGGGCGGTCCCGCCTGTAGCACACCGGCCAAATTCTTTCACCCTTGGGAAGGACCGTTCGTGGTTTGCCGACGTCATAGCGCCCACTACTTACATTATCCGCAACGCCCTCACCCACGCCGGCCCTACCTTCACTGTACACTTCGATGAGTTAAAACCTTACCACGGCAGTCTCCCCGTAGCGTCCCACGATATCCTACCATTCTCCCTCCTCATTTAGTCCCCTTGCCTACCAACGAAGTGGAAGTTCCTCCCGACCCACACCCCCCACCAGGCCCCGCGGACGGGGCACTGCCTAGAGGGGGGCAGTTGTAGCGGACAGACATGAACGGCTGTTTTAATAGACAAGGGAGCTAAGTTTGAGGGCAAGAGTGTCTGGTGTCTGGACACTATCTGTTTTCTTTCTCTCATTTTTCTCCACTCGAGGTGCGTGAAGAAGACTCTCCCTCCCCGGTGGCCGCAACCAAATCCAACTTCCACGGATAACCGTGATGTTAACATTTTTGTTGGATTAATCGATCCACTTTTCCTGCCCCTCGTTCTACGTTCTGTTCCCCCCTCTTAAAATAAACCTTGGTGTATTACGCGTCTTATCGTGTGCCTGAAGGTTGCTATTCGATGATGAATGCTTGGAAAGACGAACCTAACGATTCAAGGACCGGACAGGGTGCTCCGGTCCCCGACGTTCCGTCCCAGACAGCCCATAAGGACGCGAGTGAGTTCTCGGCCACAGAACCCCCTTCGACGTTACACCCAAATCAACGGCGAAAAAATTTCAAGGGAGAGAAATAAACATGACTTAGACCTTTTTCAAGTGTATGCGATCTCATCACTGAAGTAATAGCATCACTCCTCAAGTATAACAAAATTCAACTCCCTGAACACGGTACAAAAGACATAAAAACATCGACGAACCGGACCACAGGAATCTAAAGAAGCCAGAAAATGGCTATAGACGTCACATTCAGCGAAACAAGAAGAGGCAACGGACGAAGCCGTTAGACAAATCTTCCGACTCAACCGAAATAGGGGGGAGGGGGGGAGACAAGAAGAAAACATACGAAGATGGAACTCGTTCTCGCATTTCCCCAAGTTAGGCAAATCCTGATCATACAGAGTCTGTCTGCACCGAAATTCAGGAAAATGAACGAACGTACGCAAACGCGGCTTCCTTAATGTCATGCAACATAAGCCCCTGGCTAAATTCCATCTTATCTACTACTTTTCTATTTCTCGTTTTAGTCCCAGTACGCCAATTAAAAGATGAATACAGCCCTTTTATAGGGTATTCTCGTTCTGACTCCTACATCTATATTTGTTCGTCCTCTCCATCTC